GGACTTGTAGTGATTCTCCTGTTGCAGCCTCCCAGCACTGGGATTTCGCTGAATTTTGTATCAGCTTGATAGGGCCTTGTTAAGCCCTTTTGCTTGCTTAGAACACCTAGGTGTCTAACCAGTGTCCTAGGCAGAGTAGGGGTGGTTCTGAAGACATTTGCTTTTCAGGCCCCGTAAGAATAGCAGTCAACACAAATATGAGTGAGAATAGTAATGTGTTCAAAAAGCATGCCTGAAGTGAATTCAGGTTCTCATTTACAAAGCTATACAAACACTTTAATCATCATAATAATTGTCCTAATCATCCTTAGCTTGCTCTTTCTCATCACCCTGGAAAAGTCAATACAGCTTAGAAACAAGCGAGGAGTGAAAAAAAGGCCTTAAATATTCCATACATGTAATTATTTAAAATAGTCTATAAAATGACTTTCAGGCTAAATGCATAAGGCACACACGACACAAGTGAATGCCAAGTTTAGACTTGGGACTCATCCCAAGGTATCTCATTATGAGTATGCAAATATTCCAGACCCCTGTGTCTCAGTTACTCTTCTCTCGTTGCTGAGACTAATACCCAACAGCCAACATGAAGGAAGGAAAGGTTTATTTAGTTCACAGTTAATGGAGGTTTCAATCCATACTGGGCTGGCTCCAAAGCAGAGGGCACATGGCAACAATGGCAACAGAGAGAGAGTCTGTCTCTCTGTCTCTCTTATATTACATTCAGGCTTTCTGCCCCAGGCTGGGGGAAGTACACACACCCATAATCCCAGCAGTACTAAAACCCATAATCCCAGCCTTGGATCACACATAATCCCAGTGGATCATGAGTTAATCTCAAACTCTAGAAGTAGAAGTCCCCACCCTATGACTGCATGAGGCTTTGGGGGAACAACTAGACACAAACCATAACACCCTACATAACAAAACATAGAACCTTCTGATCCTAAGAAATTTGGATATGGTATGTTCAACCTGTAATTGTTAATTTGCAAGTAGCAAAACATCTGCACACATTTACTCAATCACACTCTTTGGTGTTTGGTGTAGCCCTACCATAGCAGGTCTAGGATATTTCTTAGCAATAAAAGAGTGGGATATTTCTAAACAGTCTGAAGAATCTGTAGAATGTGTGATATATTTATGCATAATTGATAATTGTCTTCATGGTTTCTAGCTAGATCCCTTAGAGCTTCTTATTAAGACTTAGTATTCTAAGAAACTGTACACATTTTATGTTGTATTTTAAAATTCTAATATG